GGGCTCTAAACTTTGTAAATGTTTTTGCATATTTAAAAGTTTCAGCTGTCCATAGAGGAATCGGATTCTTACAGTCAAATGGTGGAGAAGTTGAAACGATGGGGCATCGAGTTTGCTTTCAAACTTCTGATACAGCCTGTCGATAGGAATGAATTTGACTTCAATCCGGCGGATGTGAATGCCTACTATTGGTTTATGTCAAATTCCATCAGTAAGCAACTAACTATTATTGGCGTCTTTTCATTGAGTAAAGGAAAAAGTAAATAATATTAAAAACCAGCATCCTAGAGTTTAACCAGTGACAAACAAGGGTAAATGAGATCGACAAACTTAGAAGAAACTTCTGTGCCATTCTATTTTTAGAGTTACCAGCAGCCATGCTTCAAACACCCTTCTTCCACCAAACTTTTCCAAAGTGAGGTTTTAATATACGAGAAAGAGAATTCTTGATAGAGGACCAATATTAGTTATGGGAAAAATTGAACATAAAAAGGAAAGATTTTACTAAATGAAGAAATGCCATTAAGTGCCTCACACTCATCAATACAGAGACAAGCAAAGCATAATCTGCCCACCTCATTCCAGAGCACTGAACTATGGAGGAATTGGAGCAGTAATTGCACACGAGATCACCCACGGATTCGATGACGAAGGTATTTCCTTTTACTCCCACAGCTTTGTCTAGCCTTCAGGAAAGGGATCTTGCCGGAGGGACGAACCCGCCTCTGTACATCGCAGCCGGACACCCAGGAACAGCTAACCACGATGAGGCGGTATACCGCTAGGAGGCACGGACTATGGATATCTTGTAAAACGCGGAAATAATTTATTTTTAGCTATTTTTCCACCTAGAAATGCTTTAAACAGAGGTGATAAACCAATGGCGAATACAATATACTTTATCTATTATAAAAGGCTCTGAGATGTGTGCGACGAAGTATATTTAAAGGTGTTTTTCTTGCTAATATGCTAAAATGATGGCATATGGTTTAGAAAGAAATGATATGCAGGTCTGGTGTGGCCACGCAACGACAGATGCCCTAATCGACGCCATTCTCACCGACCCCCACGTTCTCGTAAAATACCGGTGTGTGTCTGCCTATCTCATAAATTAATTTGATAATGCGAACCCTTAATTTCGATCAATCGTGCTTTGTAGCCATGCGTGTGGAATTTTCTAAGATCCTATTTGTAAAATGTATGGTTCCCAAATAATTGTTACTATGCGGACTGCGCAACCATTTACTGTAGGGACTTAGTAAATGTTGGCAATCGTGATGATTTTAGTATCTTAGTGGAAAACTTCTAACGAAAAAATTCAAAGAAACGAATGCAGCAATGAATTGTCTTATGTGTTTCGACTTTAATATCCTGTCGTAATTGGACTTTCTTTTTCAGTGTGAATCAAGTGCTCGCTAATCAACCAGAATTCGCTGCCGCTTTCAACTGCGCAATCGGCACTCAAATGAATCCGACGGAACGATGTGCTGTTTGGTAGCGAAAATGGCATGGACTGCTGAAAGCTTTGGCTCTGCCGAAACATCACCTTGAATGCTATTTGCATATTATTGTCAATTCTGCACACGAAGACTGTAAAAGTCTTTCATCTAATGCTCGTTTCTTTTTTGTGCTTCCACGAAATACACCAACTTGTTCTTAATAAACCTTCAGTATAAATGGAAGGGAGNGGAGACCTTAAAATCGAAATGGGACCCCTTAAAATTTGCTCATGGTACGATATAATGTGTCAGTTTGTCCTAGATAGAAGCTTCTCAACTCCAAGGTAGGCCCGCCGTTTCTGCTGACTTCACCATCATACGCTCTACAACGTTATCGTAAACAGTGGACGTAGTGAAAAAGAACCTTATGTTAATCTCAGATTATGCGAAACACTTTTCCTATAGATAGCTTGAATGAAAAGTGTCGCTTTTAACTGTGAAAGTTGGTATTTGAATGAATTCTACGTGTTCTTGCTTCTTCCTATTTGTGAGCTTGCAGTTATACCCAATGTAATTTGTTTTGCACTTAAATAGATGGCCCAATATTCGTGATTCTTTGAGGGCTAAAGTAATTTTCTTTGAGGACTTCCGCACTGCTACGGCCTTTAGACAACTAGAAGAAATCAGATCTGGAACTCGTCGTAAGCAAGGACATTTTGAGTTGCCGAAGGATGATTTACTTTTCGTCAGTTTGTCCCAAACTGTGCTAGTTGGCCAGTGGATTAGGGAGCTGGTCGGATTGATCTTTTGTCCGCTAACTGTACGTGGAATGCTCGGCTTTGTATGAATTCGCCACGCGGGACTTTTCTCCGTAACTGTCTTGAACAACCTCGAGTTTGGATGTAACAGTTTATAGCAACAACAACGATACAATAATAATGCGCGATATTTGACGATATGTAAGCTAGGTGGATACGAGAGAGATTGAAATTGGAACAAGCACACTTGAAGGAAGCTAGGCGGACCATGGAGTTGGAGCACTGGTAGCTTGAAAGGCAACAGTCGTCTCTAAGACTGCTGGAGCTCCTCCTATTTTGTCTGTAATGAATGGGGTTTTACAGAGGGAATTAGAGATAGTGCTGATTCAAGGTATGAAACGGTACATGCGGAGAAGTACATCAGATAAGACGGTATACCAGGGACTTGGTCAACATAGAACTTAATCAGATAGCGAGGGAATAGCTCGTATTGAAAGGTTATATAAAAACAACGCAAAGGCTTATCAAAAGGTCGTGTGAAAGAGATGAAATAGCTTGTAATAGTTCCAAGGATCGACTTTCTATTAACCTCGGCATTAGAATATGAATGTGTCGTTTTCTTGTTTAGCAATCGCAAGGTTCTTAAACAGCATACATTTACTTCCATAAAAAACACAATACAATACAATGCTAGCTGACGTTTCGGCAGTATCGTCTTCTTCAGAGCCGCTTTTTCGTGACTTCCAATGAGGAAGTTCAGAACAGCTGATTATAGTCGCATGTGGTTGACGACTGCCTCATTGGAAGCCACGAAAAAGCGGCTCTGAAGAAGGTGAAATAGCTTGTGCAAAGGCTTCTACCGGAAGTACATGTGGAAACGGTCTGACTTATACATTATGAATGGATAAATTTAAGATAATTATAAGCAAATAGTTACTATAGGAAACATGTGATATTATAGAGATAGATATTTAAGGAATAGTTACTATACAAACCGCTGCAGACACTCTCGTGTAAACGCTTCATTAAAAACTGAGATCTTATTTCCCTGAAAATCCTTTCTTGCTTACACTACTTTAATCGCACATATTAGTTGACTGTTTAATGAAACACAGATTCCAAAACGACAAATCGACAGTACTCGAAGATCAAACTTTCATCATAACATAAGTGCAGTCAGTTCAGTCAACATAAGTGAAATCAGTTCGCACTGAGTTGGCAAACACTGAATACTAGGAATTGTATTACTTTGCAAAATTCCTTTATGAAATACATGATATACTGACATCAGCACGTTAACTCTTTCACGATCTCCTGTCACTGGAGTGCAACTGAGATGTGCATTAAAATGAAGATGCACGGTCCACAAGCCCGCTTACGGGGCACGATGTGCTCGTCTCTTGAAATTATCGTTCTATTGCTCGGTTCCCTCACATTTCTTTTAAGTCTCTCTAACTTTCACGTATTATTGTGTTCTTCCCATGTTCTTGTACACCTCATATGGGTTTCATATATATTTCGTTAAGGACTGGCCCACACGTGGGTCACGCGCGTCGTTCCCACTGACATCCGTGTGGGGACCATAGTAGAGTGAAGAAAACACTAGCGTACATACCATGGAGGCTATTAAATCCACAGAAGATAGCCTGTGCTATAACGGTGTGCTGTTCCTTCACCTCAAGTCCTCCAGTTATCAAAAGTTATCGTCCATTTTCTGAAACCAACAATTATGTAATCGGCATGAAACTGAGCGCCGTTCCATGTTCCACTGCTGCTGAAGTTTAATTAAAGTCGGTCTTTACAGATATATCACTTCCCTATGTACCAGCTGGAATAATACCGATCTCTGCGAGACACATTGCCGCCAAAAAAGCAGATAGCATTGCACTGTGGCAATGTGTTATGCGCGAACGCTTTTAGGTAGAGCCCATGTCAGCGAAATTGAAATTAAAATGGGAAAATCAAATCGTGGCTGTGTTTTCCAGTGAACATTACACTATGACATAAATTAAACAGAGGGCGGAATATTTGTCTTCTTTTAAAGACGGAGGGTTTGCAACATGGAGATCGAACATCAGATTTTTCGAATGGCGAATCCAGTCGGGCAAATTCCCTGTGAAAATCAGCAAAGCAGTTGAATCACAAGTGAGAATAGGAAAGCCAACATCCGTAGCTCTACACCGTTACCTTGTAAAGGCGGGTTGAACTAAATGCCTTAAATTCAAGCTCATCTTCACTGGAGAAAATTTGCAGTGAAGTCTTCTAGACAAAGTCATATATCTATCAGTGCAAATTATTGCGCTTTCTTAAGCAGTGCCTCCAAAAATCCGCCTTTTTCCACGAGGTGTTCACGTTCTTGATCCAGTGGTTATTGTGGGCTTGCATACGTTGCGAGGTTGCTGGAGTCAGTGCCAATCAATAAGTACGGGTAATTGATAAACTAGTGAAGTGATTTTCTGCCCGGCGAAAATATTTTCTAAGTTTCCATTAATCCTTCTTCTAAGCAATTTTTAGTACGGAGTTCTGCATGAGAATTGTTCAACATTATTCTATCGTTTTAAAGTGGTCGATCTTTAAATATGGGCAGTAAGAACGTTAACAGGAAAGCAAAATAGCAGATAACCAACATGTTCCTAGATTGTTAAGGTTGAGGTTGATAACCATATTTAGCTCGGCTGACATTAAAACGTCTTCGTCTTCATCAGAACCGATGTTCCGAGTAGATGGCCCACAGTCGTTCGTCTTCTCGATGTGGCTTTTCGTTGTAGTACCGAGGCTGGTTCTTCTTCAGTAAACAGCACGAATGGGGAATGCACACTCGGCAGTGTCCTTTTATACAGTGTGGTTGTTGTTGATAAGACTATCCACTGATAACAGTTTGTTTTTCAACCGATAATCCATCCTGTAGCACAATCGGGTTGTGTCTTCCTCAGCTGACCATCTCTCGAATGATGCATACTCAAGGTAGAGATGCCACATCGACACGAAGAAGAACCGATGGGCTATCGACTCGGATCGTCTGCTCTGTTAAAGACACAGACGTGGAAACGTCGGCCGAACAAAAATTATTTATCAACCTCGTGTAAGCTTATCAAAGAACGAATGCATATTAGGTGAGATATAACTATAATGGTGCCACACGACTTGAATAGCACTCGAAAAAAAATCAGTCGGTCTTAGGGACCATGGGTGCTTCTTCTGCTCGACAAGAGCAACCCATCTCTTGACGGTATTGCGATGCGCAACCAGTAATGTATTTTCCACGATAAGAAGCAATGAATCGGTCCAGTGGTTGTACCGCGACAAAGCATCGAAACTAATTCCGAAGCGAATACTGCACCGAAAGAAGGATTTGCTGACCGTTTCCTGGTCTACAGCTGGTTTAATAAATCACAACATCCTTGATCAGGATGAACAATTTCGCAGGAAAAGTGTGTCTGGAGTGGTCAACAGAAAGCACCAATTCCTAGTCATATTAAAATGCGGCATTGTGCTGTACAACAGACCTGGAGCGGCTTGACTGCGAAACTCCAGCTCACCCAACATCTTCACGAGGAGTGTAATCTACCGACCACCACTTCTTCAAACATCATTAAACCTTTTTGTGTGAGAAATTTTTCTGAGATCAGAAACTGCCGTGTTGAATTTGCGTTTTGAAATTTGTTGAGTATTAAAATGTTGACCAACACTATAAAAAATCGTCTCGTCCTCCGCAAAGGAGCACTGCCGAGTGAGGCTACTTCATTCGAACAGTGCTCTACTGGATTACACTTAAAGAGATCACGAAGACCCACATCGTAAGAAGGAATAATTGTGAACAAACGACTCGCACGAAATTGCTCTGAATAACGCTAGAAGGCGAAATATTAGCCGAATAAATCTTTTTATTAACCTCGAGCTAGCTTCTGAACGAGAGAATGAACATTTATTATCTGCATTTCTCAAGATGGACTTTCTATAAGCCTCGGCATTGATAAATAACTTTCTGCTTTCCTGATTAGCACACACGAAGCTGTTATTATATGTCGTTCGTTCACAACAGCTGAAGTTTGTATAAAGAAACACCTAAACGGTGATCGTACAGCAGAAGAAAGTACTCCACTTAGGAGCATATGGGACACACAGTTTTCTGGAAATTCTGGAAATTTTTCAACTGTTCAATTGGGAACAACCGAGTGCAACCCTCTGTTTTAGAGAAGAGCATGAACAAGTGCGACTACCCGTTTCACGCCTACTTCTTCATTTTCTACATATTATTGGGCTCTACTCTTTTGCTGTTGAATTTGCAGATGATATTGGGA